AAGCCCACATACAACTTAAGAGTACAGCTTTCACAATAAAGCTCACCGAGTTTTTCTCCCTCAACCATCACCAGCTGGCATCAGTGTTACACAGGCTCCATCCAAGGGAGAAATGTCCCCACCCCGCTCCTTGAACCAGTACACGTCTGAGACTCAAGTTGGGGCTGATGCTGAAGCATGATGCTGACACAGTGGCACTGATGGAGTCAAAGATTTGTGTGTTCAATGCCAGCACCCGCTTCCAATTCAGCAACTCTTTGAACAATGTCTCTGTTCTCAATCGAGTCCAATTTTCCTCTTCTTTTTCCTTAGCGAGTGGGCAGATTAGTGGTGCGTGCCAGGAAGCCTTTACCAGAAACGATCACTGGGACGTCTCCTTGTGATTCCTCCCAGGATAAACCCAGCATAATAACTGCAGGCTCATAAGATCACATACTCCATATGATCAGAGTACAAGAATAGAGACATCCATGCCCTCTCCTGCTGTGAAACAATCACAAGGGCATATACCTGATAGACATACATGCTTTAGGGATTCTTTCAGGAATACCTAGTGAAGCCGCACAGTATGTGCATATGAATCTACACTAATGCAAAACAAGCCTATGTTATATAAGTGTCTGGCTACTGAATGTGGATCCTTATGCTCTCCAACAGCAGAAGAATTGCGGGTAAAATCACAACTCTGATCTACGAGACTCAAGAGGAATGCAATGAAGTAAAGAAAAACAAAAAGAAGAGGGAGAGAGAGAAAAAAACAAGCGCTCCACTGTGACAGGGAGTATGCAGCTGTGATTGAGCTTGACCTTAGAAAGTTCAAAAAAACTGTCTGCACCGCCGGAGCAGTTCTCCCATCACAATCATCCATTCTACAGTCTCCGATGCCAACCTTTTATAGCAGTAACCATGGCACGGCTGGCAAGGCCTTAAACTGGGCTACCCAAAACATCTTTGTTCTAAGATCATCACTATTCCATTGTAAACCATCAAACGGTTACACACGGCTGATCTCAGTGCTACACTGCATTCGGTAAACCTCCCCATGGCAGTGCCAACAATGCCCCCATGTCTCATGCACCAACAAACTTAGGGAGGGGCACAGACAAGCTGAGGAAAGCCTATTATTTTGTCTTGGATGGGAGCATGGTTCAGAGATGGGAAAGACCACTGGAGAAAAATCAGCCAATTCTTCCTAGTTCCTGTGGCTGAGGAAGCTCTGATTAAAGCTGCACTGAGCTGTAATCAGGAGATCACAGTCAACCTAGCCGGGACCATGAGGGCAAGTCACTGGTATGCTATGCTGGTCTTAAACTGCTACGATAACAGATCTAAACCAAAAGTCTTCAATTTAGGAAAATGTGCTAGCTCATTAATGAGTACATTCAAACACTCAACGTGATCTCAAACCTCACTTTTTACAGGCCTGGAAAACCTTTTTTCTCATCCAGCTTCTTATTCTACATGAACAAGCTATTTGTCTTTAAGTTAGCAACCATTTTGAATGCTTCACATTACAGATTTCCCTTTTTCGTTTTTTGTGCTTTTTTCACTGTTTGAAGTGGGTGGGGTTCGGTTGGAAAAAGGTGATGTTAATTACCTCCACCAATCACAGCTGAGCAACATCAAATTAAACCCACAGACCCAATGAAGCGCAGAATAGACTCTTATTAAATGATAACTATGGATGTTTTTTCTACAAACTTTAACTGATTATTAACTTATTTAAAGGTGGATATTTAATATCATAGATAAATACTTGTGCATCCAAGTTTTCAGAGGCTTTAATGTTGAAATCTCTCACTTTTTGCAGAATGTTTCCCTCTGCAGCGGAAAGACATCTGCAGCAAAGATGGCAGACTAGTGTCGAATCCTGTTGTTTATTTGAATCATCCATCCAACCATCCATTTTCTCTGCCCGCTTTATCCCTGGCAGGGGCGAGGGGGCTGGAGCCTATCTCAGCATGCACTGGGAGTGAGAGAGTACGCCCTTGTGCGTTAGCAAAATGTGACATTAATGGGATTCAGCTTGATTTCAACATGTAGAAATCCAAACAACAAATAACAAATGAAATTCAAATGTGTCACTTCTGGTGTGCTTGCCCTTTTTCTGAACATACTTGTGAGTTGGGTGTTTTACATAACTCTTGAAAATTGTTTTTAACAGTGAGCTACTGTTTTAAAACTATTAAAAGGATATCTTTAAAAATCTGTAATTATACATTTTTAAAATGTCCTTTGTTGCTCTGAAAAGCATTTTTGGATGACTGAACTTGAATATTATTATCTGATTCAAGTGAATGAATGACCAAGTGTGACTGGCTTATGTTCAAGTAAAGGCTCAGTACGGGAGGGAAAAAAAGGCAGATAAACTGTCAAAAATACAAGAAAATCGCTCTAAAAACGAAAACAAGCCTGTGTCTATGATTGGCCACTTCAAGACACAAACAAACAGGAAATGGTGAGCTGAAGTGAGGGCAGCTGTTTCAGATCAAGGCCCATGGGAGACGTTGGGGACAGTGCCAGTGGAGGAGCCTTCAGTCTGGCTCCAAGCAAGCCACTCTGCATCATCATCATTACCACCCTGCAGCTTCAATTACAGGGCATGGGCCAGCAGCACACAGCAGTGATGCCTAAGGGAGCTTTTATTTTGGGAAGCTTGGTGCTGCTGTAAGAAAGTGCTATAACTGCTCATTCACTGTCTCCACCACAGACATGACTGCTGTACTACAATGAGGCGGGGGACACCAGACATCCTGGGCTGGGTAATAATCAGAGCTGTGTACAGTGTTTCCTATCCAACAGAGTGCATTGGTGGAGGTCCTGAGCAAAGACTTGAGACTGAGGGTAACCTACTCGTTATCCACTGTCACTGATGAACCGTGCCTTGTAATTATGTCTGAGCCAGGGTGCATTACTGTGTCCACATTCTGTAACAAATAAAACACAATATATGGCTGAACACAGGACATCGTTTTTATATAAAAATTCATGTCATTAACATTCTTGAGCTTCTTTCTTGGCTCTTTTTCCACTGCAGCTGCTTTATGGACGTATCAGGTCTGGAATAATGATATGACTCGATCAGTGGGCTGATTGGTTGAAGACTAACTGCTAAGGCTGGGACAATATGCTCATCTCATGATTCAATACTATCATTATACTTGCCAAATCAATTTGGGGCAGCTGTGGCTCAGGAGGTAGAGTGCGTCGGGCACTAATCGGAAGGTTGGCAGTTCGATCGGCCGCACTTCCCCGCCGCATGTCAAAGTATCCTTGAGCAAGATATTGAACCCAATGTTGTGCATCAGTGTGCAAATTAGTCAGTTTCTGTTTGATCTGCTTTGCCATCACTGTGTGAATGTGGCTTATAGTGTAAAAGCACTTTGAGTGGTCAGA